GCCATATATATGGCTATAATGTTCCAATTATAGCAGAGGCATGGATGTGGTCGCTTAAATATTTTAAAGCAATGTGTATAGATAGACTGGACATCTCAAAAGAGATGCTGAGGTTTCTTCTGATGTTTGATTGACTTGTGTTTGCTATATTAGCTTTAATCCAGATGTTCAAGGAAGCAAAGGGTAGTCCAGCAACTTTGCTTCCCATATAGGAAGCTGGATAGAGTTAATTTTTGAATGGCAAAGAGGTACAATAGGGGAAGAACACCAGTGTAGGATTTAAAACCCAAAACATGATTTTGCCTCTGTGACTGGCAACCAGGAACCCATTATTTTTTGTTTACTACAGACTTGGTGTAAAGTAAACTTGAAGGAAGAGAAAACAACAGGCGAGTACTCTACCCACCTGCATCCTGTGTGTAACACGCCACACTAGCTAAACTCTGGTAATGTTCATGTATTCTTTTAGTAAAAGTACATTCAGCCAAAGTGGTCTCTGAGCCTCGACACCGCACATGCAGACATTCAGTGGAATATGTATGGAGATCAGTGGAATTTATATGGCCATCTTCAGGTAAACGAAGACTTCCTTGAGCACCAACAGCACCTCTACAAACAGAATAAATGAAGCATTAGGGTAGAATAATTAGTACTTTGTATTTATAACCTTATTGTAGAGGTAAGGGAATAGAGTTTATTTCCTTTTATTAGATAGGTCAAGATGCTAGAAGTCTTGGAGCCTTCATATCTTCACCTGTAAAAGGGAATATAACTATCTCACCAAGTTTTGTAAAGATTAACAGCTGATTTAAACTGACTAGCCAAAGTTCTAAACGTGGCAAGCACTTAGCAAATACTGGTTTCCTCTCCTCTGTTTCTTGTTAGGAAGGATTGCTGCTTCTTCCTCTTCCAATGTTTCCTTCCAACGTGAGATGTGTCATTCTTGGCCTCTCTCCATCTTTTAATTCCTCATTTTGAAAATATAAGTGAGGCAAGGTAAACCTGGCTTTTCCATTTTTTTTGGGGGGGTGAGGGTGTGTGTGGGGAATCTCTCCGCCTTCCCCATGCTGTAAGGCTTACCAGGTTGGCCCCCATTGTTGCCAAGGATTTGGGAGGTTAAGTTGGTTAAATTCTAGCAGGTCCATTTTGCTTTTACACTAAGCTATATCCTTAGTTCATTCTTGACAGTATTAAGGTGATAATTTGGCATCTATACGCCATTGCTTGGACTTCTTAATTTGTTCAAAATTTGTGTGGGCAGACTACCTCAATGACCCAATATCCTAGAGGTGATGAGTTACCATGAACTATTCTGCCGGGACATTCAATTGCTCCCTGCTTCTCTTTAGAAGCAAATGAGGAAAATGGGTTAAAAATGTAAAGTTGAGCAAAGATACACGTACATCAGGCAAATGTAAACAAACAGTAATGGCAATANCAGTGGTGCCCCGACACGGACTCCACCACTACAGGAGAGGCTGCTGTGTCACTTCCCAGCTTGTGTTCTGTGACATCATGTCAATGGTTTGAAATCCCCCATAGTGGGAGTATTTACACCACAGAAATCAGCAAAGCCTACAGATCTGGGCTTCCCACTCTTCTCAAAGCCAGTCGTTAAACATTTACCAGCACACCACTGGATAAATCCCATGCGTGAGGTGGATCTACACACTCCTCTCACAGCCTTCCCCATCTTGGTTGAAAGCAGCTCCATCCTTTCAATTCTTAGGCCAACACACCTGGACTCATCCCTGACTGCTCATTTGCTTTCACACCCCCATCTGATCTATCGGCAAATCTTTTTGGATTTAGCTTCAAAGTAGATCCAGAATCTGACTGCTTCTCATCTCTTCCATTCCTACCCACTTATCCTATCACAATTGTCCCTTCCCGGGGCTATTGCAGTGGCTCCCTTACCAGTCTCCCTGCATCTCCCTTGACCCTTGTACAGACTATTTCCCACCCAGCTGCCAGGGTAATCTTGATTTAAAACATAAGTCATATCGAGTCACTCCTCAAATTCCTATTTCATTCACTAACAGTTCTGATCTCCCCCACGACACCCACCTGTCCGGCCTCTCCTACTGTTTGTCTAATCTCTAATACCACCCCCTGCAACCCCTCCCACACTAGCCTCCTGGAATGTTCCTGTCTTAGGAATATTGCACTGGTTATTGCCTCTGCCCAGAACACTCTTCACAGATATCTGCATGGCTAGCGCCATCATTTTCTTCAGCTCTTTACCCAAAAGTAACCTCAGTGAGTGAGTCTTCCCCGGCCACCTTATCTAA